AGAGATTTGAAATATTACGAAACAAAATCAGAGATTTGAAATCAGCATGAAAAACTAGCTTAGGTAGTGAAGTTTGGTTGAGATTGAGAAAAATTTTTAAAACAATTTTAGAACCCACGTTCCCCCTTAAGCTTGTGACGATGCGTTCCACCAGGTAAATTTTCTACTAACGTAGGGGCCCATACTGCGTCACTTCGATGTGTCTTTGCCTACGGAAGTGCATGATGATGCTATTGGCATCGGCGTCAGTGCTGTACTTGTGCAGCGTCATCAAGGAGCTAAGCACGTAGTGAGTGGCTTATTTAAGTCGCTCTTTCAACAAAGCTGAACGCAACTATATGGTAACAGAACAAGAATGCTTGGCAGCTGTTTTTGTGGTACACAAATTTCGACCTTATATTTATGGACGTCGGTTCACTATCGTTACCGACCATCACACTTTATGCTGGCTAGTTGCCGACCTCACGAAGCGACCTGCAGGTCGCTTCGTGAACCAACTGGTCGATTGGCGCGTGGGGCTCTTTGACTTCAGAGTATGACTTCGTCATCTTGTTTCAGTCTGGCCGCCGCCATGCAGATGCCGACTGTCTCTCCCGCCTTCCCCTGAAGACGACCGAGTGTGAAGAAGGCAGTTTTGACGACTGTTTTGCATCCATTTCTTCCACATTTACAGACTTAGGTACTTTCAAGAAAGAACAAAAGGCTGATATTAGCTTGGAGCCATTACTTGTCGCGGCATCGCGTCCTCGAGCCACCGGCCGCTTTTGTGTCCGTGACGGCCTTCTATACAAGACAAATTATTTGGCTAAAGGCGCACGCTTTCTTCTAGTAGTAGCACAGAGTCTACAATTCAACATACTGAAAGCCATGCATGACGATGTGACAGCTGGTCATCTGGGGTGCATCAGAACTTTGAATAGAACACAAGAGCCCTTTTACTGGCTCAGAATGCGGGACACAGTCAAGCACTATGTCGCAAAATGCGAACAATGCTAACACTACAAGCAGCCTACGACTCCTCCGCCAGGTCTTCTCCATCCACTGCCACCTCCTTATCTACCATTTGATCAAGTTGGTATCGATCTTTTGGGCCCATTTCCACGCTCGTCTAACAACAATCGATGGGTGATGGTATGCGTTGACCATCTGACTCGCTACGCAGAAACTGCGGCGATAACATCCTCGACAGCCGCATGCGTAACCATGTTTTTGCTTAGATTCATCATTCATCGGCATGGCCCTCCAAGAGTAATCATTAGTGATTGTGGTCGTCAGTTCGTTGCGAACGCCGTCAAAAAACTGGTTCGTTTGTGCAATTCGCAGTTTCGCCATTCATTCGCTTGTTACCCTTAGACGAATGGGCTGGTAGAATGTACGAACAGAACTCTGACTAATATGTTGGCCATGTACGTATCGTCTGTCCACAAGGACTGGGATGACGTTCTCCCCTTCATTACATATACGTATAACACAGCCAAACATGAGACAACCAATTACAGTCCTTTTTGACTTTCTTTACGCACGTTCACCGTTAAGCTGTATCGATACTATTCTACCATTTGACTTCTATAGCGACTACTCTGTCTCCAAGACACTCTGCCTAGCCGAAGAAGCCCGGCGTATTGGTCGTTTTCGTACTATGGCTTCGCAACACCAATTGAAGGAAAGCTATGACAGCCGCCACCAGTCTGTCGCATACTGCAAAGGAGACTTTGTGTGGTTGTGGACACCACAACGTAAACGGGGCCTATGCAAGAAGTTTTTACACCAGTACAGTGGCCCATTCGACACTGTTGATTGCTTGAGCGATTTGACATGCGTGGTCCAGTTTGACCGACGGCTGACATCAGCTGGTCGTCAGTCAATGCACACCCAGCTGGTACATGTCGCTCACCTTAAGCAGTTTCACCCTAAACATTCAGAGCAATTCATACTCGCCCAGCGGGCTTCGCCTGGTAGCCGGGAAATGCAACTGGTATGAGCCGAGAGAGGAGAAGGAAGACATGAACTGGTGCAGATACCGACGCCATTATTACTGGACCATCAACCTCACCCTGCTAATAAACACCCTTCGACTTTAACTGTAACAATATCATTGCAATGTAAGCAGTATTACCGTAATTACTCGAATCTAACGCGCACCTTTTTTCCGGTTAAGAGAGTTCATAAATCGCATGCGGGTTAGAATCCAGTACGAAAAAAAAAATGAATACGGTCATTCTACTGCCATTGGCATTTCCAAAATGGCCGCCCCCTACGTGTGTCGGCATGGCGCGTCAGCCGTTTCTGCCTAAGTGTTTCCCATGTGCGGCACTTCGTACGTGTAATGAGGAGTTCGTCATCTTGTAGTGCACTAGCATTGACGGCATGGAAGGGCCGACTCTAAAAACTCGACGAGTGCACCACGATGCCGCTTTTAAAAGAAAAGTCATCTCGTGTGCCGAAACAGACAGAAATCGGGCCGCATCGCGGTCGTTCGGAGTTCCCGAAACGTGCGTGCGGGACTGGCAGAAACAAAAGCAGAATGTTGTCGACAACAAAGATTCACGCGAAGGCTTCAGTGGACCACAGCAGGGTCGGTTTCTGCACATTGAAGAGCTGCTCGGCGAGTATGTGATTGAGCAGTGAGCGGCACAACCGCCTGTGACGACAGAACTGCTCCAAGTGCAGGCGGTTCTGACGGTGCAGGCGGTTAGCCTTAGGAAAAGGTCTAATGCCGAGCCAGTTTAAAGCGAGCAGGTGCTGGCTAACTAACTTTATGAAGAGGAAAGGTTTTTCCCTCGGAAGGCGAATGGGCATACGCCAAAAGTTGCCGGAGGAGTACGAAAAAAAGCACTGTTTTCAGAGGTTCGTCCTAAACTTGCGGCACAAACTACGTGCTTGGGCAAACCGGGAATGCCGATCAGACGCCTCTTTACTTCGACATGCCTGGCACCACAACTGTCAAGAAGGGGGCGAAGCAAGTTCGCGTGCTGACATCGGGCCACGGTAAAACTAGAGTGACCGCAATGCTCCGTTGCACGTCAGATAGGCCCCGTACCTCATATTTAAACGGAAGACGCTCCCAACAAGTCGTTTTCCCGAGTGGTGTGATCGTGCGGGCCACCGAGAAAAATGGGTGCGCGTTGCAATCGATGTCTTACCCCCATTTTTTTTTTTCGTCGAGGAAACCAGGTGCGCGTTACAATCGAGGGCGTGGTAGAATCGAGTAAATACGGTAGGTTGCGTACAAGCAGCTTTTGCTAATAATAACATATATGAGGTTTTACGCCCAAGAACCACGATATGATCATAAGGGACACTGTTGTGGAGGGCTCCGGAAATATTAGTTATCTGGTATTTTTTATTGTGCACAGGCCTTCAGAATATCACCTCCATTAAAATGTGATCGCCGCGATCGGGGTCGAACATGCGACGTCAGAAGCAGAGTACTGTAACCGCCACACAACCGCGGCGGACAGCATGCAGCTTTAGATTGTTGGTGTACTGTTAGATGTCTCAGTGCAAGGCGTATGCAATAGATGTCCCGGTAGATTTTCATCAATGCCCTAAATGCGAAGAAATGCGCTACACTTGACTGGTAAAGCTGAAAATGGGATAAGACGCCAACGCTAACTCGCGGGTCCGCAGAAAGCACTTTCGTAACAAAGATTTCATGTTTGCCGCCATTTTTGAGATGTTCAGTAACAGCTGAGCTGACGTACGCTCCCGAGGCACCCGGCAGCACATCACATGCATTTGCAAATAAATTTGCTGATGACTGACAACGACAGCCTCACTGTAAATTAACAAAATAAGTAAAAAAAACACAATTGTCTCCTATAACTCTCACGGCGAGGTCCTTAGGAAACAAACACTGTCACATTTACCATCTCATCGAAGGCACTGAAAACTAACATCGATATGTTGCCCCTGAGTGTAAGCCACGACGAAAAGTAGATGAAAAAACAGAAAAAAAAAAAACGAAACTCCGATGACTATCAATCTTATTAGATCACAGCTAAAAAGAGCAGTGGAGGGCAAGCCAATTGGCCTTGTATATCCCACAAGCGCTTGTAAGCATGTTTTTCAATTCTCCACACTCACCATTCGCACGTGTTCATTGACACGTGCATTTGAATCGCATTGAAGCTGTGCGTTTGAACGGCATGTGTGGATGTTATTACTGTTCTGCAGCACATTTTATACATGGTCTGAGATTTCTCGTGGGGTAAATGTTTAATAATCTATTAGCAGCTTAGCTTTCGCGATATCAATAGCATCGTTCGCTATGGCATCTGCTGCGCGGGGATTGTAGAGCGCTACAAATGAGTCCCACCAGGCGACTCTGGCTTTTGCACGGTTTGTTTGTCTGAATTATCCGATAAGTGAGCACACCCCAACAACAAGCAACTTCCTTCCTGTATCCGTGTTCTCCTCTTCCAGAATGAACACCTGACCACTAGCTCCAATATTATAAACTTTACCAGGTCATACCCCACTTAAAAAAAAAATTAGCTTAATGACAAACTGGAAGCACAGGCTGTGCACACAACAAAGAGGCGCGGTGGCAAAAGTGCAGGGTACCTACCAGCAGACAATACAATTCGGCATCCTATGAGTGGCATCATAACATGGGTGGCGCCACGCTATGTCATCGACGCCAATTCTATCAAAGTTTGATTTCACAGCGGCACAAACAATGCAAAATAACAGTGGCAAGAGATGTGTTACCGTTTTTTCAAGTTAATTTGCAGAATCTACAACATGATTCAACAGGCTCAATACTGAATGTCTTGTGATAAGTATTTAACTGGTAATTATTACAACAAAATATTGCATACTTTACAAATAAAAAGCATGCCAATTCTCTCACGACATGCTGCCACTCAAGCAAGAAACCATGTGAACCCACAGTGTGCCTTCTTTAAAAATCTGTCACACCAAATGACTTGCAAAAGCGCAGTAATTTTCACTATCCAACTCAAGCTACAGCTATAGAGAAAGCTGCTAATGCTCACCACACAGTTCCTGCTTTGATCCCAGATGAAAAATGCAAGGCCTTCTCAAGGTCTTGTGTAAAAAGGCTTGCGGCCAAACCATACTCAGTCCGGTTCGCACGCTCGATCAACTCGCCAATGTTTTCAAAACGCAAAATCTGCATTACTGGCCCAAATATCTGCAATGGAGACAAATTCAGCTGTACACTCTAGGTTTAGCCTGCAACAGCATGCGTTAAACAATTGCAGGTGACTGAAAAACCAGACAGTACATCTATTAACACGACAAAACTATTTTAGAACTTGTTTTTGCACAAAATAAAATAGAACAACAAAAACTGATCACCATGCTGGATGTACAATACTGGAGGCATTACCAATGCCGCTTGATTGCTACCAAACTACTGAAACACAACATCAATTCAACGCCTTCTCAAGCACTCCTGCGACGCAAGTGGCTGAAGTCATCTTGGTGAAAATGCTACATGAACGGAAATGGCTAGTCATTTTCACATGTGCTGCCTTCAATCAATCAATCAATCAATCAGCTTTTATTTCTCCTTGAGAAATATGGGGGTAACGGAAAAAAGACGCAGTACTGTAGTTTGACAAAGCTGCAGCCCCCTACAAAGTCCAGCAGCAAATAGTCAAGTAGAAAAAAAAAACATTGCTGGAAATTTAACATTTGAATTCAGTGCAGACTAATATAGGTAGTGGCAACATACAGATTTTGAGAAGAGCCTGCACCACTACTGTATCGCAGGTAGTGGCAACATACATATTGTGAGAAGAGCCTGCACCACTACTGTATCGCAGGTAGTGGCAACATACAGTGAAAACTAGGTTAAACAACAAAATATTTGATTCTTTAGGAAATATTATACTGACACAATGCGACTTCAAGTTACGCGCGCTAGCCGATACTTATGCCCTCCGGGTGATTTGCGACGCACGAGCCTGCGGGGCCCAGCTGTGCGCGACCCGTGATGGAAAAAAGAAGCAGAAGTGAATTCTCGGGACTGCTAGGACATTCCGTTCTAGCTGTGTTATTATTCTCAGGCACAAGTTTGCCCTGCCTACGTTAGTCTATTAAAAGTGTTCATTGAACTGTGCGTAACAAATTTGGTGGAGGTACTGGGTACGATGCCAAGCCCCTCTCGAGTGACGGAGCACAGTCCAGAACCACAGCGATTCGAACCCAACGAGCTGATGTCTGTTTATCAGTGCTGCGGTCGACGCCTACAAGGTAAGGGTCCTGAATTTTCATTTTAATCGACTTCCCTTAGAACCTCAACCGTTGTGAATGGGTACGCAATCAACATGACAGCTCAGGTCACTCCAGCCAACATTGTAGTGAACCAGCCAATGCTACCAAAGTCTTTCCACGGCTAAAGGTACGAGGACGCGGAGGACTGGCTTAAACAGTTCGAACGTGTCACAAAGGCTAACAGATATGGGGAAGAGCGCAACCTTGGAAGTGTTTACTTCACCCTGGAAGATAGCGCACGAACGTGGTATAAAACCACGAAGCTGCCTTCCGGTCGTGGGATGACTTTCGACAGGAGCTGCTCGCTGCTTTCCCGAACACAGACCGCAAAGAGAGAGCTCCAGACAAGAAACCAGCACAATAATGAAAGTGTCGCCATGTATGTGGAAAATATCTCGCCTATTCCGCCGAGCGCATCCAAATATGAGTGAAGACAGGAAGCTGCGTCATCTGATGTGAGGCCTGAAGCAAGAACTCTTTGCTGGACTAATTCGGAGCCCGCCACGCTTTGTCGCCCAGTTTCGTTTCGAAGCGAGTATGATAGAAAGGACGCTTCAACAGCGAGCAAGTTATACAACCGGGATGCGATCATCACTTACTTGGACATGTTGCCACCAGTCTTCGGTAACAGCATAGAAGCACTACGCGAGATAATGCAGTCTGTTGTTCGAGAAGAGCTGCAGAAGCAGTGCCTTGACCAGAACGCTCCAATGCTTTCGTCTCTAGCAAACATAATCCGTGAGGAGGTCAGGAAAGTGGTACGCAAACCTTAAAGCAACGCACAGCCACAACCGCCACTACAACAGGAGACGAAAATGACGTAAGCCGATGATCTCCAAGACGTGCAGACATCGCGGCGGCTACACCTATGCAGTACCCGATGCCACCCAGCACCGTGCAGCCAACGCCCGAGAGGAGACTCAAGGTGAGCGATGACTGGCGCACTCCCGACAGGATACCGCTTTGTTACCACTGTGGGAAGCTGGTCACCTCTACCGAACGTCTCACTACCGCCAGGCAAGACTATGTGGTTTTCGTGTTAATACACCTCAACTACGACATGGTGAGCACCCCTTCGAAATTGAAGAATACCTGTCGAGTTGTCAAAGCTCAAGTGGTTTCCAATGACACCAACCTTGAGCAACGACCACAGGGAGGTATAGGTCGCCTAGCCCCCGACCTTCAGCAAGCTCCCCGAGGTCTCGTTCTCCAAGCTTGCGTCGGGGAAACTAGACTCGGCGATCTGTGGAGGCAAAGCCGCTGTCGGCGCTAATGCAGAAAAACCTCCGTCGCCGATTCTAAATGACCGACTCAGAAACCGATGCTTCGATAGTGACGTTGCTTCCGATTTACGTGTGTTTGTTGACAGCTACGAAGTCATTGCACTGGTAGATACAAGCGCAGATTATTCAGTGATAAGTACCGGACTTTCTAAAATACTGAAGAAAGTGCGGACACCTTCGAAGGGGCCACAAGTTTGCACAGCAAGAGGGCACCTCATTAAGCCAACTGGATTCTGCACAGCAAGAATTGGAATACGAGGGTTCACATACGTCGCCAGTTCTATTGTGGTGCCGGAATGCTAAAGAGACTTGATTATTGGCATGGATTTCTTACAAGCTAATGGCACTTTAATTAACTTGCGAGAATCTTCCGTCTAATTGTCGACTAGGCACACGATTGCTACCATTGAAACTGAAGAAAACGTATATGACCCTTTTATTGCAGATGATGGCGTCATGGTGCCGCCAAGATCAAGCATATCTGTTGCAGTAACCAACAAAGCATTCAGTGAATTCGAAGGATTTGCCGATAACAACACTGCCTTAATACTCCAAAAAGGGATCTGCATGGCACGAGGCCTTGTTAAGTTGCATGAAGGATGTACGAATGTTATACCTACAAGCTTTGAAAATGAGGTGCAGCTTGTTACAAAAGGAAACGTCGTTGCCAGTCTGAATGATTTCGTCCAGGTTACGGAGCTGCGCACTTTCGAAACCAATGAGTCCGATTCGCAAGTCTGTCCTTGCAGCTGTCGACATCGAGCCAGGGCTACTACCAAGCCGAAAAGAGCAAATAAAGGTTCTTGTAAAAGAATTTGCCAAATGTTTGTCATTGTCGTCTAAAGTTCGACGCACTCCTATCGCCAAACATCGCATCATTGTCGACGAGTCAGTGAGGCCAATATACCAGCATCCCTACTGAATGTCACCTTTTGGTAATCACGTTAAAGAAATGCTCAAGGACGACTTAATCCAGCCTTCATCAAGTCCATGGCCATCACCTGTTGTTCTTGTGAAGAAAAAAGACCAAATCTAACGTTTCTGCATTGATTACCGGACGCTCAACGCCGTCACCAAATGGCATGTTTATACTTTTCCAAGAATTGATGACACTTTGGATAGGCTGCGAAATGCCTGGTATTTTTCTTCACTGGATCTTAAAAGTGAATATTAGCAGATAGAAGCTGATGAAAGAGATCGCGAAAAGACAGTGTTTGTAATACCGGACGGTTTATATAAGTTCAAGGTACTCCCGTTTGGCCTTTGTTCAGCACCTGCCACATTCGAACATTGATAGACACAGTGCTTTGCGGTCTGAAATGGCAGTCGTGCCTGGTTTATCTCGATGATGTTGTAGTCTTCTCTGCTACCTTCGAGCAACATTTGGAAAGGCTCCAGGTCGTGCTCACTGCTATCAAGTCAGCAGACTTGACGATAAAACCGCAGAAATGTAATTTTGGCTTCGGTGAGCTCCTTTTTCTCGGCCATGTCAGCAGTGCAGAAGGTGTCCGCCTAGACCCTGCAAAAACTGAGGCAGTAGCGAAATTTCTGAAGCCAACAGACAAGAAGGCTAGTAGGCGATTTTTTAGGCCTCTGTGCCTATTATCGGCAGTTTGTTAAAAATTTTTTACGAATCGCTGAACCACTCAAGCGGTTGACAAAAAAGGAAATGCCTTTCATATGGATTGCCGAACAAGAGGATGCCTTCAATGAATTACGCAAGTGTTTTCAAAGCGATCCCGTTGGGGCGCATTTCGACGAGGAAGCGGAAACCGATATCCACACGGATGCAAGCAATTTAGGTCTCTCATCCAATGGCAAAGCGGACAAGAACGAGTCACGACGCATGCCAGTCACACTCTTTCGAAAACTGAGGTGAACTACTCAGCGACCGAGAAAGAATGGTATGGGCTATCAGCAAGTTTCGACCATATTTATATGGTAGGCCTTTTCGAGCTATAAGCGACCATAATTCGCTATGCTGGCTGGCTAATCTCAAGGACCCATGTGGACGGCTTGCACGATGGAGCCTGCGATTACAGGAGTACGATATTACGTTGTGTACATGTTAGGTTTCAAGCGCAGTGATGCGGATTGCTTGTCACGTGCTCCAATTCAACCTGCTGCTTCTACTTCCACGAGGACGGTGAAGATTTTGTTTTCTTGGGAGCTGTGACACCATCGGAGTTGGCACATCATCAGCAATCCAACCCTGAGCTACTCGATCAAATATCTACAAAGACAGTCTGTCGATGTTCCACGACCTTTTGCCCGTGGCTTGTCAGCGTTCGTCCTACGAAACAACATCCTGTATAAAAGGAACTTTTACAACAATACAGCGACATTCCTGCTCATCATCCCTTCACTTCTGCGACCAGAGATTTTGGAGGCTTGCCATGACGATCCATCAGCTGGACATTTAGAAGTAAACAGAACGTTAGCACGCATCCGCACTAAATACTACTGGCCAAAGTTGCTTATCTCTGTACGACACTATGTCAAAACTTGCCGGACTGCTAAAGACGTAGAGCCCCACCACTAAAACCAGCAAGTCTCCTTCAACTAATGAAACCACTAGAGGCCCCATTCACACAAGTGGGAATAGACTTACTGGGCCCATTTCCTACAT